GACGGAGCAACCCATACGTGGCTGTTCATCAAGCAGACAAACAGAATGACAATATATATATATATATATATATATATATATATATATATATATATATATATATATATATATATATCATCATGTAGCAGGTCCTTTACAGAACGTCGCTCTCATCACAGTCTGCCTGAAAGAAACTCGGTCTCTCGCCAGCTCTCTCGCCTCATATACTTTCATACTCAAGGAGTCACTTAAATCCTGTGCCCTTCTTCGTGTCGGTCGGCCCCTGCCCCTCCTTTCTGGTACCATGCCTTCTGTATATATATATATATATATATATATATATATATATATATATATATATATATATATAACTTCCCCCCCCCCAGAAAACTAAGGTGCATGTACTTATCACAAATTATCTAATAAAGGTGCCCGTAGCTACTCTGAATCTGCAACCATGACCACACTGTAAGAACAACAGGTTCAAAGGGGGTGTTGTCAGACAAGAGCACTGTGCGGGAAGCCAAAGAAGAACAAGAAACCAACACAGAACTGATGTCTTGAGCAGCTACACACTGTGGGATTTACTAAGAAGGGATCCGAGAACTGAATGGATCGATGTGCAGTGTGAATAATCTATCGACTAACTAAATAACCAACTAGCCACACAGTGTATGTTTGCAAAAGCATATACAAATTATTATGAAAAAATATGCAGTGTGCAGTTGGCGTGCCATAAGAAAAAAGTAAGTAAGTAAAGTTTACCCCACCAGGACATCACACGGAGCGATTAACACCCTGTGACACAAAGTGCCACCATACGGAAAAGGACCCGTGTAGAGGTTCCAGAAACCGCATTTAGCCTTCAGGCTATGTCGCCGGAGTGGGGCTTCAAAATAAGGAAAAATTGAGTCCCACATGGGGACGACTTTAGTTATAGCCCGATATTCCGAATACGTCTACAGGCGTTGAATAGTGTCCAATATGCCCAACATATGAAAATTAAATGTTTAAAGTCGATGAATTCCAGTCATCCTGTGGCCTAAAGTTTCTGTACAATCATCTTTTTGGTCAAACTTTTACACAGCAGAGTCAATCCCTGACTGACTGACTTTCTACCTCACCAGGACATCACACAAGCGATAAACACCCGATGACACAATGTGCCACCATGTGGATGAGGATCACAGTGGAGAGGTCCCATAAACTGTGTTTAGCCAACTGGCCATATTTATGGCCTAGCTATATTGCGGCCCCCGGCAAGAACCAGGGTGGGGCTTCAAATAATGAAAACTGTCATCCTGAAAAGGACAGTGAATCTTGTCAATTCCTAGTCTGCATGGACATTAAATCCTGGCAATTTTGCCTAGAATGGCCTAATTCAGACTATTCAACTGGCTAGCAACTGACACGCCAATCATCACCAGTTGTATTGTATTTGTCATCTTTCTATGCTGGAACTCGAGTTTCTGGTCCGTATCTATCCCCATTTTAAATATTTTGACCCTTCAGAAAACTTAGTTGAATAACCCTATCCTACATGCTTGTGTTTTCAAAATCTCCGACCACCCTACTCACCAGCCCGTCGGTGCGGATAAAGTTATTTCCAAGGGAAGTAACAATGTATTTTATACACAAAATGTAATGCACATTCTTCTTCTTCTTCTTCACTTCCTCTTTTACCGCTGTGGGTGTCGAGGGAGATATAAGGTTCTGTTTCTAGCTCTTCTGGCTGCCTCGACCATAGGCACATCGTGCTGTTGTAGAGTTTCTCTGATGTTATCCTTCCATCTTGTTTTTGGTCTACCCCGTGCTCTACGTCCTTCTTCTCTTCCCATGTGTGCTTTGTATGGTATGGTGTCACAAGGCATTCTCTCTAAGTGGGCAAACCATTTTACTTGCTGTCTTTGTATGTAATCCAGCCATAAATTGTGTACCTTCGTTAACAATGGACAAGGTGTTGTGTGTAATCTAAGTAACTGAACGTACCCGTGTCATTCTCCCAACAGTTTCAAAATGTCTGCTCCTGTCGACATGTGACTGATAATCTTAGTTTTTTGGGGCGTAATCTTCGATCTTCGCATTTGAATACAGACAATGAGCTCTAAGGTGAGGAAGAGGCGTATGCGATCGATGATATGAAAAAAAAAGAAAAAAAGAAAGATGAGAACTAGATCTAAGTAACCACAGTTTCAATTCCGTGTGTGTCAGTAAGTGTGTTTGTCTGTGGATGAGTGATGCCTCATGGCTAGTAGCCTCCAGCCTGTCTCGCTTTGTTGGTACTGGCTAGAGGAAGAACACAAGATGTTGTTAGCGCTTCGGCTTTGACAGGCAATGCTGCAACTGTTCTAACTTTCTTCTCTGTTTGTTTAGAAGCCCATTAGTTAAATGCTGGTTAAGCTACGTGGTGGTGGTGGTGGAAAAGAGGGGGGGGGGGGGTAATTGGAGCACTTGTGTGTCTATACGGAGCGTCGTGATCATAGTTCTCACTAATTACATAACATCAAAGAATAGACCCTTTGATCTTTTCTAGAAGCACTGATGCTGTGTTGTGAAATGACCAGGTGGAAAGGCTTTATGGTTCTGACTTATCAGCAATGAATGGATGGTCATCAAAGCCCTCTGAAAGCCCAAAAACAATGCAAAAGATAGAATAGATCCCAACTGTCTGGAAAGAAAAGTGTAACAAGGAGTAACTAGTCGACACTCAACATTTAATCAGAATGCTACTGGCAATAGCGGTGCTTGAACTCTGAGCTGGCTGTTGAAGATGGGGACGGGGCGCAGCTATCAGGTGAGTTATGTAAGTTCTTAAGTCAGCACAGCTTTTCTTATCATAAATTATATATACAATTTAACGTTTGTCAAACAGTATATTCCTCTGAGCTGAGTTGAATTAGGACCTGACGTCAAAGCACTGTATGCATGTTCATCCTCGCTCCGTTCTCATCTTTGGCAGACAGCGAAGAATTACAATTCCTATTGTATCAGTAGCGATTTGATTACCTTTCCTCTGGATGTAGATTTTCGACCGGATCCCCCAATCACTTCCTAAGGCGCCGGCCTCTCCACATCGTGATGATCTTTTCGCGTTCCCCATTGTTCACTTATGGTGCAGGAGAACCTAATATGTGATATCACATCTAGCTTAGGAATGGAAGTGGGAGCGGTTACTGTAGCTTTTCGCTGGCTAGAGAACACACACCAACGTCGTAATTGTACCTGACACAGAAAGCATGCAGGGGAAGGTGAAAACAGGCTTGGTTTGTACAGCGTGAGAAGCTTCGATTCAAAGATCATAGGACGAGAAGCATTGTCTGGATCTTTTCTCCGGGAAGTGCTGGTGTATTCTGAAAAGAATAGGCAGACAGATTGCTTGGCTCTTCACAACTTAGGGCAATATTGATGCGGAAAAAGACAGACGTGGTTAGGGCCTTATGGGAGAATGTGTGCATTTCGGAGGAGCAAATGGATCATCATAGTCTGGTGAGAGTACAGCAGCGAGGAGTGAGGACCCTCAGAAAATCGCCCTTCGGAGGAAATGCAAGACGAGTAGTTAGACTGCTACTGGTACCAATGGTATTGTAGCTCTGTGCTGACTGCTGAAGATGAGGACAGACAGCTTATGGGTATGCCCCGAGTGTTCTTGAATCACCTAAAGTCTGCTTTCCGCTGGCTTGAGAATCAGCTGTACACACATGCCGTGATTGTAACTGACTCACAGAGCATGATGAGAAAGGTAGAGACAGGCATGCTTCGTAGTGAGTGGCAAGCATAACTTCAGAGGTCCCGGCTAGTTAGTATTCTAAGGATATTTTTTCCAGGTTATGCCTGTGTGTTGGAAAATGATCAGGCAGATAGAATCGCCGGTTCTGTACCACTTGGTGGTGAATTAATGTATGGCAATCTAGATGTTGTGAGGCCCTTTGGGAGAGAGTGAATAGTGCGGAGGCAAAAATAGATCATTGCGGTATGAGGAGAATAGCACTGCGACGAGTTACCAGGGGATCCGGCCAACGCTTAACACTCAGGGGAAAGGCAAGACGGACATACAATCAGGCAGTTACTGGTACTATCGGAATTGAAACTTTTCGCTTGCTGTCGAAGATGGGGACGGAGCGCTTATGGAAGTGTCCCGAGTGTTATGATTTCTATTCTTAATTCAACATTCCCACAAGCTCTTGACAACATTTGGCATTTCAAGCATCAAGTCTTTACCAAGGGCTGCAGTATAAGCCACTTTTCTAGCCTGTTTATTTCAACGCATGAATGAATTAGAAAAACCATCCAAATGGAAAGAGTAACAAATTACATAGCAATTGATGTGACTTACCCTATAGAATCATGTCCTCATCTTTACTGAAGTCTGCCTCACAAGATCCACAGGATAAACTTAACTTGGATGATGAAGTTGAAGCTTCAAATCCAAAATGACTCTGGAATGCTATAGCTGCTTCAATTTCTTTTAATACCCAATCAGGGAGCTCAAAAGTGGAACAGCCTTTTCCTACTCTTATCAGGCCGAATTTTATTGTCAAGATAGCATTTAAGAGGTCAAATTTCATCCTGTTTCTTAGGTTAGATTTGATAAATTCGCTTCAAATGAAAAAAAAAAAAAACTAGAAAAACATTTACCATCTGAACGTAAAAAAACCGCTATCTAAATGCAAGAGAAAACATCTAAATCTGGATGTAAAACATCCAAAGTGGCAACACTGCTATGAACGAAGCACACTTTTCTCCACCGTCCTCAGCATGTTTGGTTATTTTGTTGGAATCACAATATGTGTGCGCTTTCTTGTGAACGGAAGTTATGGTACTTCCGCTGTCTGGTTTATTTAGTTTACTATGTAGTAATTTTCCACCATCCCCCTATTAACCGAGTTTCTTTACCTTTTGCTGTTGTCTTTTGTAACACAGTTGCCCACCTTAACTTCATCCCCGTTTGTCAATTAACTTTCTCAGAGTTGCTGCTGGTCCTTAACTTACAATAGTTGTAAACATAGAGTTTGGCCAAGAAAATGTATCAACCATTCGCAGTAAGTGATCACGTTTGTTGATTAAGTTTGGTTTTCTCTTCTGAATGTGTCTGTCTTGACATGGGGTGCTTTTGTTTCTCAACGGCCAAGAGAGCTGTGCACACAGAGGTTTGAAGTTTGAAGTTTGAACAACGGATCAAAATCATGGCACACGGGTAGTAACCTATAAGGGCTCCGTTCTTCTTTTAACTAAAGTCTGAGTCTGAAGAAGCTCAGCACAGTGCACAGGCTCTGTAGCACCGGTGAGGATCCTAAAATACTTTGGGTAGATTTTAAACTCCAAATTTTTGCCCTAGTAGCGCTGTTAGGCTACTCTTTTCGATTTCCAGCTGCCAAGCGATTTTTTTTTCGAGCGCAACAATGCACACGGGCGTCCGATCTCACTTCCCAGAGACCAAGGGACATTACTAGAAGTCCAAGTCCACGTAAAAAAAAAAATCCCAGCCTTTACCGGCTTTGAACCCGGAACCTCTAGCACTCGAGGTGGACACTATACATCGAGACCACACAGCCCCCTGTGCAGACAGTAACGTAGCAACCAGCAGGGGCTCCCAAACCAGCGAGGTCAAAGGGTAGGGACCAGTCAAAGAAAGACACCCTGCTACTCCAAGATGTGGGGACGAAAGCTGGGGCCGACACCCATAACTTTTTCAAACCTCATTTTGTCACCAATCAATTATCAAAGAAAATCAACATTGTTTTGGCCTGATATGAGAAGGATGGAGTTGTTTTGTTCTGTTGCCCTCTGGTTTAATATTAAACTGCGCGTACAGACATTTTGGTAATCCATGGAAGTCGTCAGTGAAGCTGCGGAATACCTGGTTTGTTCGATACTCGAGAGAACATCTGTTGAGAGAAAATGTATGACACATCCACGCTCTGGAGCAAAAGATACTTCGTAAACGTGTTGTGGGCCCCAAAATAATTGTGGTGTATAGCAACTGGACAAAGTTTCCGGGGTTTATAATGTTTGATTCTCACCTTCAAGATGTCCATCCTACAGACTGCAACTCTTAAAAAAAAAGTAAAAACTGTGTCAGATCGGACAAACAAGAGGACGGTGAAGTACACGTTCTGACCGTTATATCTTTCGATTTCCTTATAAGTTCCTTTCTACACAAAACATTGTCAGTGTTGCTATGGTTATCGTCTAAACGTTTGTTTTTCTTGGTCACGCATAAAACACATCACACCCGTATAGACTTGTATAATGATAATTCTTCATTCAGATCATACACATATAAACTTGTATAATGATAAGATTCTGTTAACATCAAAGATGCAAGGACCTGCATTATGAAAATTCTCAATACACCCAATACACATATAGAAATATGCAATGATACATCTTAATTAACACTAAAGACACTTAGAACCTGCATAACGACAAGTCCTAATTCACATCACGTGCATATAGAATTGTGTAACAATAATTCGTAATTCACACCATTCACGTATAGACTTGTGTCAAGATAATTCGTAATTCACACCACACACATATAGAATTGTGTAGCGGTAATGCGTAATTCACACCACACACATATAGACTTGTGTAAACGATCATTCGTAATTCACACCACACACGTATAGACTTGTGTAACGTGCATATAGACTTGTGTAACAATAATTCGTAATTCACACCATTCACGTATAGACTTGTGTAAAGATAATTCGTAATTCACACCACACACATATAGACTTGTGTAACGGTAATGCGTAATTCACACCACACACATATAGACTTGTGTAAACGATCATTCGTAATTCACACCACACACGTGTAGACTTGTGAAACGATAATTCGAAACTTATATCATAGACATACATTCTTGTATAATGATGAATATAAATTTCTTATCCACGAAACAGATGAGTTCTGAAAGCAGCTTATCAAAAAGCAGTGTCGACCACGCTCTGTCTGAAGAGCCGCTGGTCGTGTATGGCCGGGTGAGTATAGCGTGTGTGCTGTCTAGTCCCTCCCGGCTGGTACCTGATAAGTTTGACTCTCTACGTTCACAAGGTCTAAGTCGGGTCTGAGTAGAAAGGCGCTGCGTGGAGTTATCAGGGTATCTGGCCGACACTCAACATTCAAGTGAAAGGCGAGACGGATATACTATCAGACAGTTACTTGTGCCATCGGAATTGGAACTCTTCGCTTACTGCTGAAGATGGGGAGGGAACGTTTATGGAAGTGTCTCAACTGCTATAATGTCGATTCTTAATTTAACATTCAAGATCTCAAAATCTGGATGGCAGACAAACAGGACCTGAAGGTTACACCGTCAGACTTACAAAGGCTTATTACTGGTGGTAGACAGCAGGACAAACCCCGTTCAACCTCCAAAAATGATATATTTAGAGCACCCATAACTGCCACATCAGCCATGTGTGGCTTGTGCCGATGATGATGTAAGTCAATGTGCATACAGACGAAATTAACAATTATACTAGTGCGGGCTAACCTTTGAACTTTTGTAGTATAAAGCAGACATGTCAAACTGGTCGGGGGCCTTATGTGGCCCTTCGTAAACAGCTTATTCTAGTAAAAAGGAAAACAATTCTGTAACAGTTGTTTTTAAATGACTTTAATTTGTTGTTGTGTACCCTTATGAACTGTGACTCATGCCGTCCCTGGAGGACACTCAGTTTGACACACACAACATAAGTAATGAGTCTCAAAAGAGGCCGCTCCTGGACGGCCAATGCTGAAGATTTAATCCAGCAGGTGCGTGACCTAGACGAGATCAGTCACGGAAAAGAATGGACGAATGCACCAGTATACATGCGCGGCATCTGTCCAACTAGACCGCCATTAATTTCTGCCTAATTATGTAACTTTTGTGAAGCGGCTAGACGCTAAATGGAGTTTGGACAATTGTGAGTTTGGCTCTCAGGTAGAACCAACCTTGAGTGGGTTCAGTCCTGGGAAGTAAAGGCGACCGGCGTGATGCTGAACCTATCGCCCACCAAGTGTTGATAAAATGTAGGTTTAGTCCTTTATACTCAATACGCCTGAAGGTGTAGAAAAGTGTCTTTTCCTTTTTTGTTTGTAGGGTAGGTGGGTTTTCTCTTTCAGAATTGCTGACTATTTGCGGATTAACACCCCAAGGGTGAGAATAAAACAGATGCAAATCCTAGAAACCCCGTTTAACTGCATAAGACAGTTATCAGATAAATCTAATTAACGTGATTGCAGCGCTTCTACTTTCTGAACAACTCTCTAGCCACATATTTCGGACGGTCTAACTTATAAAAAGCAGGTGTCGCATTAGCTTTGCTGATAATTGTAACTGCCAGACCAAAAATTGCCACACGAGCGAATGAACGCTGTGAGGCTTTTAGTTTCGTGGAAAATTATTTTTCCCTGAACAGACTGCACACCCTGGGATGTACCAGTTGGAGCCACAAGACAGGAAAACTAAGCGAGAGCCACCCGTCGTTACATCAGCCAGAACAGAATGTGAGTGGTTAGCCTAAAACCACTTGAAGACATATTCAGGAGGCGATCGAAGCAGTTATGATCTTGTCTGATGTGCGATGAAGTTGATCTCAATAATTAACAATGAACAATGTAACTGTGTGATATCGGATTTAACAAATAAACTACTGACTCTGTGTTTGGTTAGCTGTCCGATGGGCCGCCAAACAATGTTCAGCTTTGGTGAGCTACGGATGTCAAAAGTTTGAGAAACACTGCCCTACAGGGCGTTGCAAAGCCAGCTCTAGCAACTTTTGGTTGTTGCGGTAATTCTAGGCAAATTTACGTTCAGTAGATAGCCATTGCTGCTGTATGGTCGACACTTGATACCACTATCACAGCCAACGCAAGGCGGTCAGCTACCACATGGTCTGCAGCTAGGATCGAACCTGACCACGCCCAAGCCACAGACACCTTAACAATTTCCTAAAAGGCGACTTATTTAGAATTTGCTGAATTTGGATGTGTCGTGCTGATCGCTGCAGAAATCGCAGTCCAGCTGTCAACCACAAGAAAACGTGCATAACTTATTTTGTAAGACCTAATGCAGATACATAAAATAATGATGATATTGATAAAGATGGTGATAACACATCCCTCTGAAGAGTCAATCAGAGAAAAAGATGTCTGTATTCAATTTCAACTTCACCTCTTTGGTTGACGATCACGTGATGAAACAAAGGCGACCGACCAGGGGCTACAATGCTGTGCAGGAACCTCTGCTGGAGATAATGGATAGGAAGTCCGCCAAGCGATTAGTGGTGAGGAGACTATCATTGTGTGTGTGTGTGTGTGGGTGTGTGGTGTGTGTATGTGGGTGTGTGTTTGTGTGGTGTGTGTGTGCACGAAGAGTTTTGATACTACATGTCATTGGATATCATCATCATCATCATCCTCATATAGCAGGTCCTTTGCAGAACGTCGCTCTCATCACAGTCTGCCTGAAAAAAAAAAAAAAGGAGCTCTCGCCAGTTCTCCCGCCTCATGCACTTTCACAATCTAGGAGTCACTTATATCCTGTGCCCATTTTCGTGTCGGTCGGCCTCTGCTCCTCCTTCCTGGTACCATGACTTCTGCTTTGTCATTGGATATATGGTGCCAAAATATGATGTGTAGACAAATCAGCAGCTTGGTACCGCTTTAACCTTCTTCTTCTTCATCATCTTCTTCTTCTTCTTCTTCTTCTTCTTCTTCTTCTTATTCTTCTTTTTCTTCTTCTTCTTCTTCTTCTTCTTCTTCTTCTTCTTCTTCTTCTTTCTTCTTTCTTCTTCTTTCTGTCTTCTTCTTCTTCTTCTTCTTCTTCTTCTTCTTCTTCTTCTTCTTCTTCTACTTCTTCTTTTTCTTCTTCTTCTTCTTCTTCTTCTTCTTCTTCTTCTTCTTCTTCTTCTTCTTCTTCTTCTTCTTCTTCGTCTTCTTCTCTTCTTCTACTTCTTCTTCTTCTTCTTCTTCTTCTTTTTCTTCTTCTTCTTCTTCTTCTTCTTCTTCTTCTTCTTCTTCTTCTTCTTCTTCTTCTTCTTCTTCTTCTTCTACTTCTTCTTCTTCTTCTTCTTCTTCTTCTTCTTCTCTTCTTCTTCTTCTTCTTCTTTTTCTTCTTCTTCTTCTTCTTCTTCTTCTTCTTCTTCTTTTTCTTCTTCTTCTTCTTCTTCTTCTTCTACTTCTTCTTCTACAGCTTTAAGCGGATTGGTCACGTGTATTATGCTAGCGCTACATATTTATAGACCAGTCTCTACTAGATATGTAGTGTAAAATGTGAAACAGGTTCGAATCCTCGGTATGGTTTTTTTTTTTTTTTTACCGTCAGAGGCGAAAACTCGCTCTTCACCACCCGTGGGGACAGCACTAGCCACACCGCACTAAATCAGACTAACAAATGCCATATCTACATCCCAAAAGTGGTGAATACAAACAGTAACTGGCAGTTTTGTGTGGGAATGAAATAATTAGGTTAACAAGACAGCCACGACAAGACAAAACAGTGATTGATTGTGGTTAATTAAATGCTGGATTGTCTTTTCATTTCCCGCTATAGAGTTTGGTTAGTTTTCACGATACAGACAATATGTAACGAGCGAACAGAAATATGAACTGCAGTTTCATCCAGTTATCTAGCTGTCTGTTGACTCAAATGGGTAGTTATGTATGTATGGTGGAAGCTGCCCATCTTTTTTTTTTTTTGGTATACCTAACTTACTATCCACTTATTCATGATTCTGTTATACTCAGCATCATCATCATCATCATCGTTCGTGTGCCGTTAGACGGCACATAGGGCTCGCATTCGATTCTTCCACCCCGATCTATTGCAGGTAATTTTCTCGATTGCTGACATGGAGTTCAGCGCAGCCTTTCTTAGCCTCTAGTAATAATGTTCTTATTTTTTTTTCCCCAGACGTCCTCATTTTTTTTACACCGATTGTTTTCCTTCAGTGCTTGTTTTGTAATTCTTTGCTCACTTGGTGTCAGTGTGTGCTCAATAAATCTCCACCTTCTTTGTCTTATTGCAGTCTATACAGGTATTTGTTCATACATTTATCAAAGAAACGCATCCTATTTTATGTTCATTATTTTTCTCGCACAAATTTATTTTCAAATGCATTGAACTTTCGTTCCATGTCTATGGCAGTTCTTCAATTTTCGCTGGCATGTGTTAGATCTGAAATAATGCCATAGTTTGTAATGTCGTAGCCTGGTCTTTAAGCTGTGCAACTTTGAGTTCCATATTTGATTACGTCTTTTGAAGACTGTTGCTGCTCACTATATATATATATATTTATATACCCTTATTCTTGAGCATTCGGCAGCAAAAATCCTAATGTGTAACAGTTAACTGTTCCCGTAGCCCACTGATTATGCAATATCGTTTTCTTCCTCTCATACTCGCTCAGACGGGCCTGCGTGCCCAATTTGTAACCCTTTGAAAATAAAGTCTGTTCGTTCGTTGCCGGATTTACTCCGAAGTCAACGTTCACACATTATTACACATGTCATTTCACCGATCCTCGTGTTTCCAACAAATTCGTTCACAAATGGTTTCCACGTTGTCTTCTTTTTTTTATCCAGTGCGAGTGTTCTTGTAGCTATTGCTTTCGTAGCCAAAAGACGTCATCCGCTTTGTAATTCCCTATCAGTTCTTCATGTCTCGGACAGTTTTCCCCATTAGTCCCTATAATGTTGAAGTGCTAATGCTTAGTATCTACCCATGCCACATCTGTCCATTTAACTGCGAGGTGCGACTGTAGTACCACTGTCTGAAACCGCAAGATCGGTCTTTTTCTAAACCGCCCTCCGCCAGGATTCGCTTTGGTGTGAACGCGTAAACAAAGTTTCAGAACCGCTGTTCTGTGCCTGGTGCTCCAAACAGACCCGAAGACTTCTCTCTAATTCACGGCAGCTTCAGCTGGCAATCGATTATCATGTTCAGTGCAGCCAGCCATAAGGCGCTAATTGGATTCGATTAGAAAAACGATATATCTGTTTTGGTTAACCAGAGGGACCAAATGCCATTTTTGAATCACTGCGAAAGAGGCGCCTGTAAATGTGGTTTATTGGTTTATCTTCTGGGGACAGCATTTGGATACATATTCTGTGGTGGGATATTTCATTCTATATATATATATACATACACACACATTTATTTATACCTATAATATGTGAAAGAGATTACGTGAGATGGTAATAAATGTGGTTAGAATAAACTAAAGAAGATGCTCGTATTCAAGCTAGATAGGCAGAGTATGGTTAGCGATAGGAGTTAAATTTCGTTAAAAAGGAGACAAAAGTAAAAATAGGGAAGGTCTTGAATATAGACTAGATAACGTAGTAAATGTTGGCATTTGCCATAGAATATAACGAAATGTATAGCCGTTTCTAAAAAAAAAAATAAAAAAATAGAATTTAATACAGTCATGTTGAGAAAACGAGAAAATTTAGTATGGTAAAAGAAGTCAATATTGCCAGAAAGTGAAAAGTGAAATTATGTCAAAAGTGAGGAAAGTAGTAAATGTAACCACTGAAATGATAAATATAATCACTATTAAAGTAATTACACGTAATCAAGATAAAAGGGAGCACCAGCCCACCCCCTCTCCCCTCAAGCTCCTTTTCCCATTCTTTTGATGTCGTCGCCCCTGGGGGCGGTATCTCCTATAGAGCGCCGAAAATCTGTCAAACAATATGGGGTTTGCATCATATACCCATTCCGCCCTGAAAACTGGAATCTTTCTTGATTTTATAAACATCAAACATGTGAGGGAATCTACAACTTCGTATTAATCTACATTCGCCATTAAAGGCGGGTGACCGACATTTTGGGTGGTTACACTAGCCTGCCATATCTTCACCATTTGGCCCAGTACATTTTAGTTACGCCTTAATTACTCTCCATTTACGACATTCTTGTGTCAGGACAGCTATTCGTTTCTTAATTCATCCCCTAGCCCCAACCCCCCAACCCTCTCCATAAAAAGGACCCTAAACCTACATGTATATTGAAAGTGAGTAGGGGCAAAACCAACGCCTACTCCAGATTAAAAGGACTAGGTGCTGAGGTCAACAGCTTGACGTGACGTCACCACACTGGGCTAACGATACGTTCCATGTTCACTCTGACAGTCCCGTTTTTTCGGTGTGTTCCTGGCAGTCCCCTAGCATTCCCCATTGAAATTATAGGAATAAGCTCGAGAATGGAATGTGTATATAGGTATATACAAACTAAAAAGGAACACAGGAGAAAAACATTTTAATAATAATTAATTAGTATGGCTTATACATTTGATAGGCTTATATAATTTCGATAATCTCATCTTTTTAAAATGTATTAGTTCCTTAATGAAAATTAATAATATTACATTCTATACTTTTTTTAAGAAAGGCGGGAGAAGGGGAAAAGGGTGGAGGTTGAGGTGAAAAGTGGGAGGGGGAGCTGACTTGCTTAGGATGTTCCATTTTCAGCTCAAAAATATTGTAAACAAAATTGGGAGAACAACAAAGATACGGAAAGTACAACAGAAACTACTTACATTTTAGCTGGTGAATGTCACATATGTATCCAACTAATCAACTAAAAATTAGTGAATGAACTTCACCAGTATATTCTTCTTGTCCATCCAGTATATTCGCAATATTATCCTTGTCCACCCAGTACATTCGAAATATTTTTCTCCTCCACCCAGTATATTTTGTAAAATTATCCTAGTTCACCCAGTATATTTGCAATATTATCCTAGTCCACCCAGTATATTTGCAATATTATCCTAGTCCACCCAGTATATTTGCAATATTATCCTGGTCCACCCAGTATATTTGTAATATTATCCTAGTCCACCCAGTATATTTGCAATATTATCCTAGTCCACCCAGTATATTTGCAATATTCTTCTTGTCCACCCAGTATATTTGCAATATTATCCTAGTCCACCCAGTATATTTGTAGTATTTTCCTAGTCCACCCAGTATATTTGTAATATTTTCCTAGTCCACCCAGTATATTTGTAATATTATCCTAGTCCACCCAGTATATTTGCAATATTATCCTAGTCCACCCAGTATATTTGCAATATTCTTCTTGTCCACCCAGTATATTTGCAATATTATCCTAGTCCACCCAGTATATTTGTAGTATTTTCCTAGTCCACCCAGTATATTTGTAATATTTTCCTAGTCCACCCAGTATATTTGTAGTATTTTCCTAGTCCACCCAGTATATTTGCAATATTCTTCCTGTCCACCCAGTATATTTGCAGTATTTTCCTAGTCCACCCAGTATATTATCAATATTATTCTTTTCGACTCAGTATATTCTCAATTTATATTCAGCAAATTTATTATTTATATGATAATGCATACAAACAAAACTGCCATGGAGAAGGAAATATATGTTAATGAGGAAAGATTGGAAGTGGTGGAAAATTATATTCAGCAAATTTATTATTTATATGATAATGCATACAAACAAAACTGCCATGGAGAAGGAAATATATGTTAATGAGGAAAGATTGGAAGTGGTGGAAAATTTCGAATATCTTGGGTCACTGGTTACCAACAATGGTGACACAATGAAAGAAATTAAACGGCGACTATCAATTGCTCTTCAAGAATAAAAACAACTGAATAAATTATGGAATTGTACAGATAGAATTACAAAGGTCAGATTTTTAAGAGCATGCATCTTTCCCATTGCAACATACGCCTGTGAGACCTGGACACTTACTAAACAAGCGGAACAGCGCATAAATGCATTTGAATATAAATGTTACAGACAGGTTCTAAGAATATCTTGGGTAAAGAAAAGAACAAATGCATCCATACTTCAAGAGCTGAATATTGAAGAGGGTTGGCTAGTAAAGACAATAAAACAAAGAAAATTGAAATATTTTGGTCACTTGAAACGTCATGGAGGTCTAGAGAGAACAATAATGGAGGGGTATATGCCTGGGAAGAGAGGAAGAGGAAGGCCAAGGAGAAGATGGGTGCAGGATGTGGCAGATGATCTCCAGATGGGTGCATCAGACGCAGGACATCTTGCTCATGATAGGAAGGTTTTCCGGAGGGTTGTTATGGCAGCGAGGTTCCGCGAGGGACATGCTACTGAATGAATGAATGAAATATTCTCAATATTTTGCGAATGGGAGTCAATTCTGAATTTTTATTATTAATAATTAATGAAATGTAAATATCAGAAATATTATAATACTGTACAAGCAAACGAAGAGATCTTTAGGACATAGTGTAGTTTTGTTTTTCCTTCCTACCTCTAAAATGCTGCTCCGCAACAACAACAACAACAACAACAACAACAACAACAACAACAACAAAAACACAAAAAAAGGGGGACTGAGCATAAATCTAAACCGAATCACACGAAGAACTTATTGAATATATTCCAAGAAAATATCACTTACAAGTGAATCAAAAGTGAAGATAGAATCACTTATTAATGTTACTCAATGACAATTAAAAAAAAAAATAAAACCTAACCTTAGGAAAAATTCGTGGGTTCGCTCCCTGGCGGAGCCGGACTATTTTCAAAAATGACCTTGGCTCCCAGTTCGACCCAGCCTTGAGTGGGTACCGGGTGCAGTCCCAGGAAGCAGAGGCGGCCGGCGTGATGCTGACCACATCACCCATCTTGTGCCGATTAGTCTATAAAAGTATAGGTCTAGCCCTATATGCCCTATACGCCTAAAGGCGTGGAAAAGGGTCCTTTACTTTACTTTTTACTTAGGAAAAGCAATACAATTTTTGTCGGCTACGGTTTACACTGCTGCGCACAGCTGAGCGGCAGTGCTCCATTTGTCCAGTAGCTGGAGAATGCCTTGGCAAAACACACCAGTAGTTTATGCTTCAGTGTGGATCCCCGGTAGCAACAATTATATTTGTGTGGCAGCTTCACAGTTAACGTTGGTTACAGTGTACCTACTGTCATTTTAGGGAATTCTATGTGGTGAAGCACCCAATCTTTTCAACTGCTCCCCTCTCGTGCCGTCATCCGAAAACAACGAGAAATGTTTCTATTTTACCCGTTTTCCTCGTAAATCGAATCCCGGTACTCTGGAGTCATGAAACTGTTTGTCTCACTCACTCAACTCGAAGTGACAGAGTCGCCCTAGTGTAATACTATAGGTCACATAAGTCTGCATTAAACTATAACAGCCAAAGAATGAGAAGAGGTCACGAACATTCCAATTCTTATCAGTACAAGCCGAGGAAAGCTGGAGATGCACCATCCGAAACGACGTTAGCGTCCACTATTGTGACACTTAACGCGCAAAAGCCGACGGGAGCTGGGGGTCAATGTACTAGACACTGGATACCGGTAAGTAGTGGACAATTGTATATCTTCTTCATTGTCTTCTTCTTCTTCTTTTTTGTCTCTTTCTTCTTCTTCTTCTTCTTCTTCATCATTTTCGTCTTCTTCTTCTTCTTCTTCTTCTTCTTCTTCTTCTTCTTCTTCTTCTTCTTCTTCTTCTTCTTCTTCTTCTTCTTCTTCTTCTTCTTCTTCTTCTTCTTCTTCTTCTTCTTCTTCCTCATTTTCGTCTTCTTCTTCTTCTTCTTCTTCTTCTTCTTCTTCTTCTTCTTCTTCTTCTTCTTCTTCTTCTTCTTCTTCTTCTTCTTCTTTTTTTTCTTCTTCTTCTTCTTCTTCTTCTTCTTCTTCTTCTTCTTCTTCTTCTTCTTCTTCTTCTTCTTCTTCTTCTTCTTCTTCTTCTTCTTCTTCTTCTTCTTCTTTTGATGTTGCTGCTGCTGCTACTTTCTCCTGGAAAGGGGCAGGTGGAACGTTGTGTTGTGGTTTACAGCTTAGCTGTCATATCCGCACCTTTCTGCCAAACACATCGGGTCAATCAAACGATCGATTTGCTTCCCCCTGGCTGCTACTTAAAGGTTTACCGTCTCATCCTCATATTTAAAAAGGCAGGCCGACTAGAGAGATCACAGAGAAATTTAACCTCGCAGGGAATTCTAATTGGTGCATCCGTAAAGACTACACTAACCAAGTAACCTGCAGCACTTTGCGGGCACAAGTGAATGCATGATGATAACGTTTAACCCTGCCAGGACATCACAACCAGCGATAAACACCCGGTGACACAAAGTGTCACCATTCGGATGAGGATCACCTGGGGACAGTTCCTATAAACCTCGTTCAACCCATAGGTTTGGTTTTTAAAAGGGCCTCCGACAACAGCCAAAGTGGGGCTTTGAAACAGCAAAGAATTGCCTCCGACATTTGGGACACAGTTAATAATATCGCAAACGAACACATCTGATTTCAATAATACCTCTGGCTAGTGATTCTAAACCTTCCTGATACTGTTCCCCTTTAATACAGTTCCTTATAGTGTGGCGAACCCCAACCATACTATTATTTTCGTCGCTATTTTATAACTTCAATGAATATGTATTTTTCGATAGATTTTGGAGACCCCTGTGAAAGGGTCGTCAGACCCTCCAAAAAAGGATGCGATCTTTAGGTTGAGAGCCGCTGCTTTAAGTGGTCGTCTTTTACGAAGAGTCGTGGTTTCGAATAATCATCGAGGCGAATGAAAAGAACTGACACAACTTGCCGGGCCAGTCCTGTCTAAAACTGGTACCATAAGATATCTATGAAAGGAACATCATAGCTTGTCGTGTATCTATTTCAGCGTTTCTCAATAATTTTGACAATTGGCGCCAAAATTCGAACCAATGTCTTTTGCGGAGCACCTACTGGCAGTCGTATCCTGTAAAGGTACAGGTAAAGTCTGGAGATGTTAACCAGCGTCATTGCGTACGGTAATAAACCATTAAGTGCTCCGCCACCACTACAGAGGAGAGTCGACAAGGAACTGTCCGCCTGTGTCGCCGTCCGCTTGCAACTCTGTAGTCATATGGGGTTCAAACCCGGTGCAGTATAAGTCAAAAGAAACTCCACGGGGGAGCATGTACAGCAGGAGTCTACCAATCGTCAGTAGAAGTAATCTCTAGTCGACGAATGTTTCGGCTCACGAGCTCCTAGACTTGATCCTCTTAACTATAACCTTTTTTTTTTTTTTTTTTTTTGGTTTGTTTGTTTGTTAAAGAAGTAAGTACCAAATAATTTGAAGAATATCTTAGGATTTCACAGCAGCAGTTGGAAAACCATTAAAAACGTGGACAGAATGTTAAATGTATTCGACGACAAGTATTACATGCCTTGTTATAATATAACGAATATGGCGATATATTGAATGTTGAATTATGAATTGAAATTACATAACTCGGGACACTCCCATAAGTGCTCAGTCCCTGTCTTCATCAGCAAGCGATATATTGAGAACACCAAGAGAAGAACCTGGCAGAGAATAATCAAACGGTCACTGAAAAAGGGAAACAGACCGAGGACACGAAGAGGTCCAAGAGAAATCATTGGATGATCGCTAATCTCAGACAAAAAGGTGCAGGTAAGGTGTCCGTCTATGATACAGAAAAGATTGCTCAGCCTCGACAGCTAGCTCTGTGTGGAGTAAAAACAGCACACGATGAGAGTTTCATTCATTGACTATCATTGAATAATTGATGCAGTAGCTCACGTCATAACCAGCTTGTTGTCTATACTTTAGCAACACTCTGTACAGTTACCAGAGCAGGCGAAAATCGATGCAGTCCTGAAGGGAAAAGACGAAACTCAGGTTACTGATCATAAGTTTTTCTTCGAACCCTTGCAACTTCTAAGGAAGGATAAAGACATGGTGAAGATCGTGAGTACTTGTTTGTTATTTTAATGTTTCTTCTTTTTCTTTTCTCTACTCCAGGTTTGCATCGCAGCGTCGGGGGAGGAAGAGATCTTTGTAACGGGCTCTTCTGTTCGCTTCGTATAAAGTACATTTCAATGTCTCATATATTTCTGCGGTCTATGTTCTGCTTGGTCGACGTCTGGATCTGACACGGCTGTATCTGTATAACATTGCTCTCTATGGTGCCGTGCCTGATGCCAATCTTGTTACATGGCCAAACCATTTGAATTGTTGTCTACTTATAAAGTTCAGTATTGGTTCTCTGCGGACTCTCCTCCTGATAACATGGTTAATAAGTCGATCTATCCGTGTTACACCTAGCATAGTACGTAAACATTTCATTTCTTTTGTGACTATTTTCCTTCTGTCTTCTGAACACGGGATGCGGGTTCGATCCCAGCTGCGGGCCGTGCGCCTTGCGTTGGTTTCGACAGTGGTATCAAGAAAGCCGACCGTCCAGAAGCAATGGCAAACTACTGCACGTCAATTTGCTTAGAAAAACCACACAACAACCAGGGGCTGTTGGGGTTGGTTCTGCAACGTCCTGTAAAAGATACGCAACTAACCTTCTGAACACAAGAGTCCATGTTTGACATGGATAACATAACGTTGGTAAGAATATAGTGTTGAGCAGAGACTTTCTAGTGTTCATGCTAACCTAGGATTTACGTTAAAAAAAGATCAGCTTCCACGGCAGACAAAAAAAAAAAAAAAGGCAGGGACCTCGTTTAACTGCGAAAGAAGTTATAATTAGGGTCATTGTAACAGTGACATGAGCGATGAGTAAACCTGCAGTGCTGCCGGTAAGGAGGTGTGAAACTGCCAACGAGCTAATGCAGAATATGTAAATGAACTCACTGACTGCCTGCGCGAGCCGCTGCAGTTTAGCGGCTATCGGCTCGCCTGCAGTCTCGTAGTTCGTGAGTTCAAGGTCGAACGGATCCGGACTTTATAATGACCTCAGCTCCCAGGTTAATCCAATCTTGAATGGCTGCCAGGTAAAGTTCAGGGTAGTAAAGGAGGCCGTTTAAATGTTAACACCATCACCCATCGAGTTCTGATCGGTCTTTACCGGCGGTTCCCAAACTATGGGTGGCGACCCTTTTTGTGAGGGTCGAATGACCCTTTCACAGGGGCCGCCAAAGACAGGAAAAAGGGGGCGCGCCTCATTGAAGTTAATGAAGTAGCGACGAAAAAAATATTATTGTTGGGGGTCGCCACAACACGAGGAATTGTATTGCATGGTTGCTGCAACATGAGGAACTATTAAAATGTCGCGGCATTAGAAAGAATGAGAACCACTTGGTCTATACGAGGGGGCTGCGTGGTCTCGAGTCATGGTGTCCACCTCGAGGGCTAGAGGTTCTGGGTTCAATTCCCGCTAAGGGCTGGGATTTTTTTTACGTGGATTTGGACTTCAGTAACTTCCCCTGGTCTCTGAGTAGTGAGATCGGACACCCGTGTGCATTGGTGCCTCGGTAACAAATCCCTTGGGTGTTGGAAATCGAAAAGAGTAGCCTAACGGCGCTGCCCGGGGAATATTTTGAGTTAAAAATCTACCCAAAGTATTTCAGGACCCTCGCCGGTACTACAGAGCCTGTGCACTGTGCTGAGCTTCTTCGGACTCAGACTTGAGTTAGAAGAAGAACGGAGCACTTATGGGTTACTACTTTTGTGTTATGATGTCGATCTGTTGTTCAACTTAAAACTTCATTTGTTGTCCGGCTCTCTAGCGTAGTTAGCTAAACCGGATTGCGCGGTGAGGGGGCGACGAACTCCTTGTGGTCCGGGTTCACTCCCGGGGGTAGGCAGAAAAGCCACATTTCTCCCAGATTTACGGTATTTACAATGGAATCAAGGCCGAAAGGTTGCCATATCCATAATACCGAGCCTAAGGGTTAACAACTCATGGCTTCTAGATACTAAAACAAAACAAACAACAAAACAAAACTTCATTTGTTGGTCTATACGATATGGGTCTAGCGTTACATGATCCATCCCCCGTGTGGGTTCCGGGACCCCATTGTGGGGAAAACAAGAATAGACCCACTGCCTACCCAAAAGCATGTCGCAAGAGTCTACTAATTGGGGAGCTTCCTTTGAAGTCAGAGTGCATCTGCCGGAGAGGCAAGGAACCAACAGTGTGTATTCAAGAGAATGAGATATGTAAAACTGATGCACACGCAACACTCAGGTTCTGGAGCAGGACTGCAGTTCAGTAGTGGACGATCAACCAGAACTTTTCGCCAGAGTGTACAGCTGGTGAACGCGAAGAAGAAGAAAAAGACATGATCCATACGCTTAAAGGCATGGAAAATTCCCTTTTACTATACTGTCTGACTAACGTATTTCCATATTGAACTCCAGCAAGACGACGCCTCAAACAAAGACACACAGACAGCCCCAGTAATTACCACGCCAGGGAACAGACAGATGGTGACACTACACACTGTATGTGCACCCAAAACGGGCGCCATCAAACTGACGGGGCTGGCCTACGAGCTGGACTATCCCGTCGTTTACGATGACAGAAAAAAAGGTGAGTACAACTGGTCTTCTTCTTCTTCTGCTCGGCCTTCGCCGGGCTGTAAACTCCGGCGGAAAATTCTGGTTGTTCGTCCACTTCTGAACTTTGGTCATGGTCCAGAACAAGAGTTTTATTTGCACATCTGTTTTGTAGATCTGATTTGTCATAAACTTATATTAGGTTTACTTGTGTTTGTTTGCTTGTAAGTTTGGTGTTTTAGCACACACACACATACACACACACACACACATATATACGCGCGCGCTGTGTGGATGACAGTGCAATAAGGTGAAATGATATTCTGAAAGTCTGTTTCCTGTAGTGGTCATTTCGAAAATTGTAGATGAATTAGGCAAAAGGAATAATTTGCAGGCTAACAATTCAGGTAAACAGGCTAGAACAATATCTCAATGCACACACATTTTAAAATTCAGAAACCAAGAGTTGTAAAATCCTTTTGGCTCGGTCCCACGACGTCGCAACCCGTCAGCCTGATTCCATACAGGATTTCGTAAATTTGGTGAATGTGTCGCTTTTCGGCCTACCCCCCCCCCCCCCCCAACCCCCTCCAGACTCGTACCATAAGCAGTTTGTAATCACCGCGTACTTGGTTTAACCAACTTAGCTAGCGCCTGGCCGATGCACACATTAATAAACTTTTCTACCGGTTAAACAACACACGTAAAACAATGTTTTAGCCATTGTTCAGCGGGGCTTGTTCCCGGTCAATCTAGATACTTTCTCAGTGTTATCTAGGTCAGAGGGGTGTCAGGTTGTACTGCTTTCTTCGAAAAGAGTCTCTTGTGACCTAGGCTCAGGCTGTATGTAGGGTGGTTTGGGTTAGGACCAGTTGTAGATGTTCTGGGATTGCTGAAAGCTGTGTCTTCGTGTAGCATAGAAGACGCGACATCGGCGCTAATGTAATCAGAGGCAAAACAACGTGACATCCCTCCGACGTAGAACAGTCTGAGAAAGTATGAATAAACGTCAGCTAGTGTGTAGATGCCCCGGGAAGATATAAAACCGAACGAACAGTATATTAGCCAGTTTCACAATATAACAAATACAAACAAAACGTGAACGTTGGGGCTATGGACCCTCCATTAGCACATAGAAATAAAACAATACTATACAAAAACAGAAAATCACTTAGCTGGTATCTCGAAACAGCCGGGTGGATGGATTCCCAGCATAATGCCTACACACTTGAGCTGGGGGGGGGGGGGGGAATAAATACCCCATGAGGAGTACCAGGGGGAATAACTAGGGAGTAAGAGACAATGCTATGAGGGCAGTTAAATTCCTTAAGAGTTTAAATGAAACAGTGTTGGCATTTCAGTCCTGGGGGTGTTAAAGTTCCCAAAGTGTAAATAACGCGATTCACGGGAAACGTGTACAAGGACCGTTCAGGGCAAGAAGTCAACCTAATCACAACACGTGACCCGGCTAGGGTCGTGGTCATTGTAGTGTAGGTCTTGTGGAGGCCAAAGATTGGACGCAGAAAACTAATCGAAGGTGAATAATAATTTATCAGAAAGACAAAGGGAAATAACAGAGAAAGCAAAGATATGATAACCTTGAGTGCGCTCTTCAGCTTTTTTAACCATAAAGGTATAAATGAATGACGTAGATGAGGTGAGAGGGGAGGAACAGGCGAAGAAGAAGAAGAAGAGGGGAATGAGAGGAAAAAGGAGGAGGAGAATGAGATGAAGAATAACAAGTAGAAGAGAAAAGATGAGGAGGAGGAGGAGGAGAAGAAGAAGAAGACAAAGAAGAAGAAGAAGAAGAAGAAGAAGAAGAAGAAGAAGAAGAAGAAGAAGAAGAAGAAGAAGAAGAAGAAAAAAAGCAGAAGAAGAAGAAGAAGAAGAAGAAGACGAAGTAGGTGGAGAAGGAAGAGAAGGAGGAGGAGGAGAAAAAGAAGAAACAGAAAAGAAGTAGAAGAAGAAAAGGGAATAAGAGAAAAAGGCACTTTTAACCACGACGATTTGCTTCTTTCGCTATCTTATATCTCGATGTTTTCTTGTAATTAATTTCTAAAAATGACCGACTCATTCAGTTCCTTATATATTGCTAATCCACGTCATTAATAAATCCCCGACAACAGGACCGGCTCCACAAAAACTGTTTGGCTTCACAAAGTACAGCCTTGTCCCCCAAGCCTGCCCGAATGATTCAGAAGTCCTGTGTGTAACAATATTTTTGGTTGCTTTTTTTTAATGGGTTAGTTTGACGTTAGTCTCCCCAAATAGAGTAGGTCACTTTTCATTCACAAGTTTGTTAGGCTGGTCGACTTTCCTGAAGGTTACGGATGTGTCCCGCTCTGTTTGGTTTCTGTGATGTCTTGCATTTACGTATTCATTTCGAGAAGGAGAATGCCTATGACATAGGTTGTTACACTCTCTATGGGGATTTTGTTAGCCCTAGTTTCTCCATGTTTTTGGAGTGTTAAAAGCGCTAGCGTGCTGAAATATACAACATGCACTATCAACGGCAATGCGGAATAACTCCGTAACCTTGCGCGAAGGACACAGGGCTCAGAAACTACCAATAAGTGGTGCAATAAGTGGTGTTTTATATTCTCTCGTTGTCTAGGTGGTGTTCATTTGCGTGTGTTGTGAATGTTCTTCTCACACACTCTACGTTACATAACTGGTACAAGCCGACACCGACGTATGCGTACGAGACATAAGTTTATTGGCATATTATCACTCACAGTCGTGTCCAGTTGTTATCCTAGTAAACAGCTCTCGCACACCAATTCACGCAGCCTTCAACATGCAGGTTCTTCATGCATTCCCTGACCAGAGTTGGCTCCCATGAATCAAGTTGAGGTTCTGGCCATTTCACAGCCTGGCATGGTCGATCTTGGCTTCACACTTTGTCGTCAGGGTCTCCTTTCTCAACAATCACTCTTACGTTGACATTCTTCCACTCAGTCTCATATCCTCTCGCTCCAACAGGTCGACACAAACTTGACCAGAATCAAGTCTGACTTATACCACGGGTTAGTTTCACGTGGCAACACGTGGTGGTCCTTTTTCTTTCACGTGGCGACCTTTGGTCGCATCATCGTGGTACCCGTGATAACTAGTGGTCATCACCTATCACAAGATCCTCGTTTAATCCGAGTATCTGGAATATCTCGATGTTTTAGGTCAGATTTGGGCCTTCCCCCCAACCATCCTAATCTGGGTGAAAATATCCCCCATTACACAGAAAGGTGGCTAGTGTGTATATGAGTGGGGTCTGGGGAGACTAACATTACTTTTACTTTTTAAATGTTTTAAGTTTTCCCTTTTATAACAGACATTCGCAAATGCATCGACTGAAAGAAGGTTTAGCTCAGTAAGAACAATTATATAGAATTGATAGCAAGTTCGTGAGCGACATGATCCGCTATGCTGGGTGGGAAAAGATGTGATCATGACTTTGATGGTGATGATGATGATGCGATAATGATGTAATAGGGTAGGGTTTGTAAGTAAAAGTAAACACCTCTTTTCCACGCCTTTAGGCGTATTGGAAATATAGGACCAGACCTATATTTTTATAGACCAATTGCCGCTTGGTGAGTAATATAGTCAACATCACGCCGGCCGCCTTCACTTCCCAGGACTGCACCTGGTACCCACTCAAGGCTGGGTCGACCTGGGAGTCAAAATTTTGTGTCAGTAGCTCAAAGAATGTATCCATCAATTGTTTTAAGGAAAGCAGAGTGAAGACAGAAGAATACTCGTGGACAAAAAACGTTGGAGGATCTGATGGAGGATCTGATAGATGATCTGATGGAGGATCTGATTGAGGATCTGATGGAGGATCTGATGGAGAATAGTGCTACGGTTGCCATATGAAATTAACTAACGTATACTATTCCTACGCTTATTTGATCTGCCTTACCTTTTTTTTTTCGGAACTTTGGGTTTTGTAGGTTTTTTGCTGAGTCATGCAGCTTATTATTTGAACATTGTATTTCCGTTTTCTAATTAAGAATTCTTGTTGTGTTTGCCGTACGGTGTTAAGAGCTTTGGTTGAAATATGTGAATGTTTGTGTGTGTGTTTCCTAGTTATGTTGTTTGTTCGTTCGGTTTTTACCGTTTTCATGCAACTCCGGGAATGGGTGGGGAGGGGATAAATACGCCCTTCGACAGAGAACTTTCCTAGGCATTCCTTTTTCTGGGGGTAGGGGGGGGGCACATTTAAGTCACTTTTTAAGTTCTAGCCTGTTAAATTTTCTATTTATCCATCCATCCTTCTAGTGTGGGTTCCGGGGCCCTATTGTAGGGGAAACAAAAAGAGACCCACTGCCTCCCCAACAAGCATGTCGTAAGAGTCGACTAATTGGGAGCTTCCTTCGAAGTCGGAGTGCACCTGCCTGAGAGGCAAGGAACCAACAGATGTGTGCAAATAAGTCATATCTGTAAAACGGATGCACACGCAATACTCAGTTTCTGGAAAAAGACTAAAAGTCCAGAAGTGAAAGAACAACCAGAACTTTCCGCCGGAGTTTACAGAAGAAGAAATCCATCCGTCTGCCTGGACTCTATCCATCCATTAAAATGACTGTCTACATTAAATTCAACAAACAGAACACAAGCACAGAAACATAACCAAAACCATAAAATTATGGAGATGCGCTTATGTATTCTAAGCAATATCATAAAGGTGGTCCTGCTATAGATTTCGGGGCTTCGTGCGAGGAAAGAAAAGGCGGGGTTGGGGGGGGGGAGGGGTTGAACCACGCCTCCATTTAAGGCTCGAACTGGAAACCTGGGTCGGAGTCTGTGGCTTGGGAGTTTCTTCATAATGCCGGGGTGCCAGGTTCGATCCCACCTGCAGACGGTGTGTCTTGCGTTGATTTCGACAGTCGAACTGAGAGCTGACCGTTTAGTAAGAAATGGCAAACTATTAGACGTAAAATTTGCCTAGAAATTTTCAAAAAAAAAAAAAAATGCTTGGGTTGATTCTGCAATGTACTGTAAAGGATATGTAATTAACTTCAACTCCATAACAAGAATTTAGTAACAGCCTGCATATTAAGGGTGTTTTCTTTAAAGAGAACCAATACGCTGCATTCAAATCGTTCCGACTTGTAAGTCAGCTTTGCATGCAAAACTTAGGTTCCGGGACAAGATTAGAAGTGGACAAAGAAGCAAGTCTTTCGGCTGGAGTTTACAGCTCGTGAACTCTAAACTGAAAAAGACTAGGGGTGATCCACTCTCCTTCTTGCTACTTTGACTATTCTAGTAAAGTAAATGACCCTTACCCACCCCCTTCAGCCAGATAGGGCTAGACCTATATTTTATAGAGCAATCGGCCCTCAGTGGGTGATGTGTATCACATCACGACGGCTGCCTTTCTTTCTTAGGACTTTACCTGATATCCATTTAAGGCTGGGTCAATCTTTTATTTTTTGTCGGAGTTCCTGATCTTTCGGATCAGCAAGTGAAAGTCTAGTAGTTACACCACAACTTCCGCCAGTTTTTTTTTTTTTAAAGCATATAACATATTCTCCCTAGATGTATTTTAATTACATTTGTATATTGTTTATGTAAAGTAAAGTAAAGTTCCCTTTTCACGCCTTTCGGCGCATCGGGCATATGGGCAGAGCGTCCCATATTTTTCAGACCATCAGCACTCTGTGGGTAATGTGGTCAGCATTACGCCGGCTGTCTTTACTTTCCCAGGACAGCCCATCTTGGTACCCATTTTTTAGGCTGGGTCAACCTGCGACGTCCCATACCACGACAAAAATCCACGCAGCCTGCAGTGGGTTTCGATCGCGGCATGCTGGCTTACGAGTCGGACTCGCAACGCCTTAGCCACGGACGCCGCATTCAAGCGTGTTTACTTATTATTACGTTGCTGAAGATGATGTTTACTTTTTTATTTCTCAAAAGGTGTATGAATGAGATAATGACGAAAGGATTGAGGTCATACGGGCATGCGTGCCCAATTCATAACTTTTAGAGTGAACAAATTTCTTTTTGGTTCGCTTCTTTCTAGAGGAATCTAAAAGTTGTCTGGCGTCTATTTTTATACCGCTAAATGTTCATTTACACATGTGAAGTGTGCGCATGCTCCTTTTTTTCTTCTTCAAGTTCCTCTGTAACTGCAGTGGTGATGCATGATCATGACGCATGTGTAAGCTTTAGCTGGTAACGATTACACTGTAGAGGATATCGCGTGATATTTTCATTCTAATCGCTTCGCTGTTAACATCATGCTTCTTCTTTTGCCTTTCTATCCCCCAATGAAGCATAGGCCTTCAACCAACTCACGCCAAGTCGTTCTATCCTTCGCCATTGCATGGAACTCTCCCCATGTCCTCCCCATCTTTCTAACTTCATTCTCCAGCTCTCTTCTCCATGTAATTTTGGCCTTCCTTTATCCCTATGTGCTGTTCTCCTGTTTTTTTCCTCATCTCCTGATCCACTGGAGCCTGTTCAGTTCTCTCCCAAAGTTCTACATTAGTTATTCTATCATACCATTTTATTCCCTCTATTCTGCGCAGGCACCAGTTAATGAATGTCTGTAATTTATTAGTAATTGCCTTGGTTGTTCTCCATGTTTCCGCTCCATACAATAGTAATGATTTGACATTAGAATTAAAAAAAAATTTTGTTTAGTATTTCTTTTAATTTCTTTTGACCTCCACAAATTCCCTAGTGCAATAAAAGCCCCTCTTGCCTTTTGTATTCTTATTTTAATATCTCTATAAGTTCCTCTATCTTTATGTACATTACTGCCTAAATAGGTGTAAGACTCCAGGTCTTGGAGTGGGGTGCCATTCAGAGAAACCACATTACTATTTGCCTGATTTATTCTCATTATCTTTGTCTCTCCTTTATGGATTTTCAGACCAAGCTGCTGTGATCTCGCATCAAGTATATTTAATTTATCTTGCATCTGATTCCGTGAACGGGACAGAAGAGCAATATCATCAGCGAAGTCTAGAACATCAAGCTGTTTTGTAGGGGTCCACTGAATTCCATTCTTTGTGTTAGCAATTACTGTTATCATAGTCCAGTCTATGGTCAGTAAAAATAAGAGAGCCGACAAAAGACACCCCTGTCGCACACCTGCTTTTATTTCAAATGTATCTGTTAGCTTTCCTTCATGAAGAACTCGACATTTCGTGTCTTTATATGTTGCCTTTACTAAGTTGATAATTTTCTGTGGGATTCCTTAGTGCCCTATCAATTTCCAGAGAGATTCTCTATCAATGCTGTCAAATGCTTTTCATAGTTTATAAATCCAATGTAAAGTGGTGAGTTCAGTTCAATGCTTTGCTCTATTATAATACACAATGTGGCTATCTGATCAGTACAGGATCTGTTTGACCGAAAACCTGCCTGCTCATCTCTTAGCATTTTATCAATAGCATCTTTTAATCTTTCCAAAATAATTCTACTTAATATTTTTCCAGGAACTGACAGCAACATAATTCCTGTATAGTTTTCACACTCCTGTAGATCACCTTTTTTTTGGTCAGTTTCACAAGATATCCTTCTCTCCAGTCTGCTGGTATTTCTTTAGTCTCCCAGACATTACTGAATAATCTATGTAGCAATTCTGTTGATCTGTTTATGTTGGCCCTGATGGCTTCAGCTGGGATAATATCTGGGCCTGTCGCCTTTCCTTCCTTGATAAGATTGATAGCTTTTCTAATTTCCTCTTTGGGTGGTATCTCACAGTTGATATCCAGTTCCATTTCTAAAGGCTGGATATCTGGGGGAAACCTCTGGGCCTGGTCTATTTAGAAGCATTTCAAAATCATCATGTTTGCGAAACTAATATCGTTGTACTAGTAACTCCTCGTGTGTGTTCAGAGGAAAGGCAAGACAGACGTTTAATCAGAATGCTACTGGCACCATTAGTATCGGAACTCTTCGCTGGCTGCTGAAGATGGGGACGGAGCGCTTATGGGAATGCCCCGAGTGCTGTGATATCGGTTCATGAATCAAATCAAATCAAATGTTGTGACAATTTTTATTAGAGGATGCAAGAGTCCACATTTGGCACTGAAAGCATAGTGTTGGCCAAAAATAGTTATGAAAAGGTTCACTCTGGGATTTGTGCTTGTGTGTCAACAGGGGAAATTGTTGCCCCATTACTTTATTAGCTTGATAAATAGTTAAAAGTCCTAATACACAGTAAAATAATGTCTGTATATTTTGCAAGGCAAAGCGTAAGCTCGCGATTATAACGGTCACATGCACGCCTCGCCAGTGTATAACAGTATCAGATACTCACACATGTTGTTTGTCCAAACTTTCAGTCAGAACTCAGAGAAAGACGCAGGATCGTCTCGAAACGTTGATTGGTCCAACCCACGTAGAACAATTTTGGACCGTTCCCAGAGAGTTGTTAAACAAACGAGCGGCCGGGAAGGTAGGTTACACGGCTAGGTTAGGATGTACCACTTCATCTCTTGTTTTATTTTAAACAACTCACTTATATCTACTTTGAACAGTTCCTTGAGAACTGTTAAAAGTAATATGTACAACAACGAATAGACCGCACAGAGGGCTGCGTGGTCTCGAGGAATAACGTCTGCCTAGAGTGCTGGACTTTCAGAATTTTCCTCTGGTCTCTGGGTAGTGAGATCGGACGCCCGTGTGCATTGTTGCGCACGTAAAAAAAAAATGCATTGGCAGTTGGAAATCGAAAAGAGTAGCTCAACGGTAGCGGTCAAAATTTGGAGTTAAAAATCTACCCAAAGTATTTCAGGATTTTTGCCGGTGCAACGGAGTCCGTGCTGAGCTGAGCGGCTTCAAACTCAGGCTTGAGTTAGCAGTAGGACGGAGCACTCATGGGTTACATCCGTGTGCCATGATGTTAATCTTTTAAATAAACCAAACCAACAGACTGCACAATTTATTACCTGGCATATTTCGCATATCTCATCGGGGGCATTACTAAAACGTTAAATCTACATATAATAAAGTGCACAAACGAATCCTTTCCACCGAAATGCAGGAATCTAACTGTCTGATATAACTATGCTGTATATCTATCTCATCAACGGAAGTTCAAGATAGTTGTAATGTTGTGAATTCCCGGGGAAATCCCAGAGAGTTCCCGATGGAGAGGACAAGGTCAGGGGACCAGTGATACAAGAGAAAAACGAGATAAGTGGGTCTCGAGTATCCCGTGGTGAGTTAAATAAGGGATACAATAAAAGTGTGAGACTGGAACGGAAGACGTGAACCAAGAGACGGGAGTAAGACAGTTGAAGTTCGGACCTGGTTGCGAGAGGTCGTATGTGAGATAACGCCTGAAGCGAATGGAAAAACTGTGAACAGTATAATTGTTCGAGAGAACATATGAATGTTTTCCTGATTGCCAGTTTCAACATGTACTAATACCAGGTACAAGGCTTTAGTAGGATGTGATGAGCTGCCAGTGGGATGTTTGCTTCAGTGAATAAAGGTCTAAAACCGAACATTCGTTTCTGGTGTGTCATACCAACTAAGTGATCGTCAATACAGCAATGTGGCGTGTAGAAACAAACCTCTAGCAGAGCACATTACAATTGCCTGTTGATTACAAGGAAGTTTTCGAATTGACATGCTCTTTTCTGTGACGTGATCCCTGCATACACATTTGTCTTTATGATGAAACTTTGTAGTAATGCAACTGAAAAAAAAAAAATTGCCAGTGAATAAATTATGTTGTGTAATATTTGTATCCACGTTTTTTTGTATCTCTACCGGAACACGTCATTTTGAATTGATTAATAAGGGGAGAGGGGGTTGGGAAAAGAGACAAGCTGCAAGCAGATTAAAGTGGCACAGACCAGGAACCACCATTATAGACATCCATTTAATCAGTACAGACCGCTCAAGGTGGTCTCTATGTGGCAATTTTCTGTTGTGAAGAACAATTGGTGTATCCCAGGGAAATATTTCTTGCCGAAACTTTTATCTGGATAAGAGGAATTTATGACAAGAAGAACCATTTCGTTGTCCTCGGTGAGTTCTCCTTATCAGATCTGCTCTGTATTCGTTTTATCTCTACAATCAAAAGTTGTAGTTAAGTGGTGGGAATTGAAACTGTTACCTCCAAAATGGCATGTGCGCCTCGCTATGGAAACAAGTGTACTAAGAACATGACCAACTAGGCACCCCCAAAAATGTATCTTTTTTGGCCATGTCTACCCTACAGCTTGAAATCCACAACTACAACATTGTCTGTTTCTTTCTTATATATAAGGGAAACCCTAAGAGAGGTCAGTGAAAGGCTAGAATAGAGTCCCTGAGTGATATTGAAAAGATTGCTCTGCACAGACACGAATCGCGGAAAAGACCCCACGCTTTCCATAATGTATATCAAGACGATGATGAGGCAGCTCGGGAATAGAAACAAAATGCCAACGAGCCAGCGCATTTATATCAAGCTGACACCGTTATCAAGATATCCAAACATAAGTTTGATCGCCAAGAAACAGATCATAAAAGCATATTCATTCCAGCACTGTGCTACCAGTGCCAGACCTGGACATTATCAAAGGCTAACCTTCGTGAAAGTAACTCCTGTGAAATGAGATGCCTGAGAAAGGCCTCCCACTTAAACATCCAAGACACAGTTAAAATACCATTATATCAAACAGACTGTAGCAACAACACCATGCAGCAAATTCATTGAGGTACAGATCAAATGGTTTAGTAATCTAGAAAAAATGCAGCCGGAACAACTACCAACTCAGGCGCTACACAAGAAAAGATCTAATGTGAAATCAAGAGGTCACCCTAGGAGAGGATGGATTAATGACATTGAAAAGCTGCTACATAGACATGGAATGACAACAGCCAATGCTGCCCATCAAGCAGGGGATCACAATCTGTTCCTCCCGGTGGGGTTTAACAGCAGAAGTGGAAAGTTGTGATTCTGAAATTGGTACTAGGTAATTCTATGGGAAATGTTGGGTTTTGTGTTAGTCTATTTTTTTTCCCTTTCTGTTAGCCGTTTCTGTCTCTGACTGTCTGTATTCCTCTCTCTCTCTCTTGTGTCTCTTCTTTTCTTCGCTTTCACCGACTGTAAACTCTGACGGAAAGTTCTGGTTGTTCATACACCTCTGAAATGTGGACCTCTACTAGAACCTGTGTGTTGCGTGCACATCCATTTTTACAGATCTGGCTTATTTGTATGCAGACTATTGGTTCCTTGCCTCTCAGGCAGATGCACTTAGAAGGAAACCCCTAATTAGTTGAATCTTACAAAGTGCTTGTTGGGGAGGCGGTGGGTCTATTCTTGTTTTCCCCACAACGGGGCCCCGGAATCCACATTGGGATCCCGTGTATGTGTTTGTGTAATATAATAATCACATCTCTGCTATCCCCATATTTATGAAGCTGAGAATTCAAGACAAAGAATTTTTGGATGACATGGCAGTGGCATCAAATGGACATAGTTTACAACTTAACACACAAGTTGGAGGATTGCTGATGTTCGAGGTAAGTTGCTAACTCAGGGCTCCTGGCAGTGCACTAGCATGTTCTAATATTGACACAGGTCCGAACCACATGATCTGCTGCCTGGCTGTACCAGTCTTTACTTCTAGATCTCTCATTCTTCAACTTCTAGATCTCTCATTCTTCAACTTCTAGATCTCTCATTCTTCAACTTCTAGATCTCTCATTCTTCAACTTCTAGATCTCTCATTCTTCAACTTCTAGATCTCTCATTCTTCAACTTCTAGATCTCTCATTCTTCAACTTCTAGATCTCTCATTCTTCAACTTCTAGATCTCTCATTCTTCAACTTCTAGATCTCTCATTCTTCAAGGGATAAAGTTAGATCTTTATTTTCTTTACGGGGTGCTTATTAGTGCGGTGATGTAGGTTTTTGTAATTAGAATATTGTCATCAGTGGCCGAAATAAAACCTAACGGCTGAACAGGGTTTCTGTCCAGGGGGATTCTCATCTGAATGGTGGCACTTTGGGTCACCAGGTTTTAATTACTTGTTATGCAAGTCCTCATAGGATTGAATGTCATCACTCACTTGGTTATTATCTGTTTTGTCTTTTCTCAGAATGTGTCCAATATTGCGCCATCTTCTCTATCTTACAACTGTTGATACTAATAGTTTCCAGACAAGTCTATTAACTCCTAACTTAATATTTATTGAGACATTAAAACAGAAGATTAAAAAAAACATCGTAGGCAAAGACCCCTTTTCAAGCTAGTCAGTCATCAGACGCCAGACTCATGGATTTATAGACCAATCAACACTTGACTCAACATTACAGCTGCCACTTTTACTTCCCAGGACATCTTCTGCTCTCTATTTTAGATTGGGTCAACTTAGAAGACATGACACTTTTACTTCCCAGGACATCTTCTGCTCTCTTTTTTAGATTGGGTCAACTTAGAAGACAAAGTCATCTCTTTTGCACATGTTCTCTTCAGACAGGTTTTCTTTAGACAGCTTTTCTCTGTGCAGGTTTTGTTTGTATAGTTTTTCTGTGTACTGGTTTTCTTGCTTTTTTTTTCTTCTTGAAACGGTGTATCAGGAACAAAAGAAGCTGAATAATGGCGTTAAAACATAGTGACCTATTTTCTGTTGAGCGAAACCCAAATAAAATACACTACTCTTCTGCTACGCTGCAGACATAAATTTAGAGTGCAAACTAGCCAGGTTTTGTTAAAAGGTGATGTAATTTACAAAATACAGTTCATAAATACAGTTCATAATTAAATCTCTAGGACAGATTAAATACAAAATAAATACAAATCACAATTAAATCTCTAGAACAGATTAAACAAATTATATACATTGCCTGGCATATATGAACAACAGATAAGGTAAGATTGGGGAAGAAACACGCAAAAGAGGAACTAGTGAAAAACTAAAATCATACATCTCTACCATAATGGATTAAAATTTTCTTTCAACACATGGTTAAAGAATAAAGTTAGCAGCAGTCCCACATAAAAGTAACAGGCAGTGAACATGAAGGAAGAGTCCTGAAACCTTGGTATATTGCAAAGTTGAGTTGAATCAAGAACTGACATCACAACATTTAGGACATTCCCACAGGAACTCAGGACATTCCCACAAGCACTCAGGACATTCCCACAAGCACTCCATTCTCATCTCAGCATCCAGTACAGAGTTTTAATTGCAATGGTGCCAGTAGCAGTTTGATTGTGTGCCCCTGCTTGTACTTGGAATGTCAGAATCATCAAACTGCATTCATGACCCCAAAGCCACAGACAGCAACAGACACTACCACTAAACCATTTAGTGCTGGGTCTTCACATATGTTAGGCGGTGACAAATGAGGTGCACTGATTAGTTCCCCTCTGTATTACATCTCTTCCTAAGACGAGTCAGTGTTACAATATTTGATAAATTATAGTTTACTCCAAAAGTCGTGCCCTCAAACTTAAAAAAAAAATATCTTGAAAACTCCTGTTTGGATCAACACAAATTTGTGTGTGTGGTCCTAGATTGCCCATGTCCTTATGATTTTATAATTTACAGTTGCACGGGTGCTGCTGTTTTCTTAAGGCTTTGATCTTTGTTGCACTAATAATTTGTGTACCCATAAAACAAATTGAATATTCAGTTAAGTGATATAAATAGCTTAGCTAAAATGGCAACCCTGGAGATTAATGTTTTCAGAATCAATTCACATGTGCTGCGATGCATGGCTATTATTTTGATTCTGCAAACAATGACAAATTATGTTCACCGACCTCACGGGAGGCTAATGCAGGAGACTGATTACCTGAGAGTGAAAAGCCTATAAACTGAGTGACAATTAGGTAAATAAGACTATGACAGTGAATGACGTATCCAATTCACTATTCAAAATTATGCACTTTTGTGTGTGTGTATGTGTGTGCAAGGATGACTTGTAAAACATGTACAATTTGATGTGTTGCAAAGTTTGTGTCGCTTCACTATCTGTAAACCTGTATGCTGTGAATAAGTGTCTCTTTTTTTTCATATACTGCAAATAAGATAAATTAAAAACTAGATGTTGTTTACATTATAATTATTTTCTTATAGGGATATAATTATCAATAGGTTGCATACCAAATTTCAACAATTTATAGCAACTGGTTACTGGGTTACAGATTGTTAAAGTTGGGCACAACTTTTGGAACAGACTATAGAAATGTTTTTCTCATAAATGATGCCAAATTTTCTGTATCAAAAAATCAAACATTGTAATTGGAAAGAATACTTCTGCCACACTTCTAGCACAATATATCATGGATTTTCTGTCTAGGATATTCCGGTGTGTGGGGTAAACGAACAGGCTGATAAAATTTAATCAGGTTGCAACTGGTACTTTTAGCAAATCAGCTCTTTGCTGACTACTGAAGAAAGAGAGTGAACATGTGTGGGAATGTTTTGAGTGTAGTGATGTCAGTTTCTGATTCATTCAGTACTTCTCAGAATTTACCAGCAGGAGACAAGAAGAATTTGTTTATCATTCTTTAGTTATAAGAAGAAAACTATTGTTTCTAAAAACTTTAATGAAGACATCATTTGTGATTGACTTTCTGATTAACTTCTGTTTTCTGATAATACAGTTTTAGCATTGATATTTTCCAAATGGAAAATATGCTATGAAAGTATTGCTACATATTTTCTTTTCAAGAAAGGGGGAGAGAAAGCCTTGTCAATGTCCTTTAATAGCAGTAAGCTCTTCAGTGCTGGAGGACACTGAAGTCTTTTCACAGCCCAGGTCACATTTCTGCCTGACGCCATGACGGCCTGGCGTGCTACTTTTCTTGCCTGGTTTTCCAGGGATGTGACAAAACGAGGTGGCGGCTGACCTCCATTTGCTCCTCTCAGGTGATGGTCCAACTGCTGAAGGTGTTGAGGTCTAACCTGAGGTCTCTGGTTAGATTCTCTCACTGCGCTGCCCGTTAGAAAATCTTGGCCGCTGCTCGAACAGACTTCCAGTTTATTCAGCAACAAGGAGAAGTCATTAGGGTAAGAGTTGATTAGCACTCGTATCATAACGTCGAAATATGAGCTCAACGGATGACCATGAGCGGCAATAAGGACCATTAATATATCCATCCCCGGGCCAGACATCTCGACATTGTGGCTTCTCTTGACAAACTCGGACATGGCCATTATAACTGCGTTGGCATGCTGGAGTGTAGGGAATAATGACACAGACCCACTGAAATAATGCCAGGCGTTGGCTACTCCACTGCGGCTGCTGCAAATGTAGTCTTGTGATCTGGGCTGTGTGTTGGCTCCCAGCTGAATTAGCTCGTTGACCATGGCCAGGTTTTGATTGTTGATTGCCTGGTACAGTGGTGGCCCGGAACATTTGTACATGTGCTGAGTAATGAGGTTGATATCAGCTCCATGGCGAACCTGTTAGATAAAATTATAATAGTGTTAAAAAAAAAAAAAAAGTAAATATAGTTTCAGTTACAACATTCAGGGTAATGAACCCAGTTGACCTTCTTCACAGAAACTTACTTTAACATTTCTCTTTGTGGGTTCTGGGGCCCCACTGTGCGGGATGAATAGACCCCACAGCCTCTAAACAAGCATATCATAGGAGGCGACTGATTGTCGATGCTTTCTCTAAAGTCAGACTGCATCTGCCTGAGAGGGAGGGAATTAACAGTTTGTAAACAAATATGCCAAATCTGTAGAATGTAGTTACATGCAAAATTCAAGTTCTGGATTAGGACTAAAGTCCAGGAGTAGATTAACAACCAGAAATTTCTGCTGTGAATGCTAAAAAGAAGAAGAATAAGAAGATATACTCAGTACCTCAAAGTGTGAGGGCCCTATTTTAATCTTTTCCATTTCAACTCTCACTGTCTCTATTCTCTCCACCACTTACTTATTTCTCTCTCCTATTCCGATTTTTTCCGCAACAATCCTCTGTAATTCATAACTAGTTAGAGGCCAGACAATAAGTGTATTCAGGACTCTACTCACCAGAATCTTAAGCATATCTATTAGATTGTAGTCTATGGCCGTACTCAGAGGAGTCATTCCATAAATGTCTACAGCGTTTGGGTTGGCACCTCTCTCTAGAAGCAGCTGTGGATGAAAACTACAATTACTCACAGCAACGCAGGATTTCTCTTGTAGCATAAAAGCAACTAAAGTATGCATTTAGACAGTATCCATTAGATGTCAAGGATACACGGCCGGTTTTCTGTTGTAGCACAAAAGCAACTAAAGTATACATTTAGACAGTACCCATTAGATTTCAAGGATGCAAGGCTGGTTTTTCTGTGATAGCATAAAAGCAACTAAATTATACATATAGACAGTATAAAAATAAGTCAGATATCTAAAATGGATGTGCACACAGAAAACAAGTTCTGAAAGACTATAAAAGCCCAGATGTCAACAAACAACCAGAACTTTATGCTAGAGATTACAGCTGGCAAGCACAAAGAAGAAAAAAAAGGATGACTTGGCATAGGCTGGTTGAGGTCCTACTGACCACTGGG